TTCAGAACTGTTGTTCAAAAGCCGTGTCTTGCTCCGTTTTTATGTTTGTGTTAGCAGTACTCTGTTTTATTAAGTAAAATATTATTACAGCAGCATAGAAATAAAGAGAGTAAGAATAAAGCAATGTAAATGTCTGTTCTTTGGTGAATTATTGTCTCCTAAACCAAGAACAAAAAGAAAGATGCCATTCAAGTGCCAGACCATTTTGTGATGAAAGTAGATCACAATGTTCTGCTGACAGAGTGACAAAGGTGGAACTTGAGGGCACAGAGCAGCAGCCAGACGGTAAACAGTGTTCACATAAGTTATTGTGTCATTTATCATCAAAAAAATTCAAGTGTTCAGGTACAGTTTGGATAGAAATATTTCACAACTGGCTTTACAAGACAAAGGAGAAGTGTGTGAAAACCTTCTACCCCATCAAAGAAAGACTAACAACCTACAGCACTGACCGGCCAACCACAACACAACATAATCACCTGATTGCATTTCTGAGCTGAGCACAACCTGGTTTTGTCATTAGAGTCATTTGTTCACTGCAATACAAAGACCTGCAGCGCTGTGGAAACAGCACAACTACGGCCAAGCGTAGAAACAACACGGCTATGCTGGAAATCCTAAATAAAGAACTGGAATTTCTTTATATTGCAAAAATCCCAAAACACTTGGGATCAACGTGTAGAACATGTTTTTTAATTTCGCACAGTAGTTACCAGTGTCGGGGAAAATGGTGGTTGTACATAATACAGATATTTAACTACTTACATTTTTTATTTGTTTCTCCTCTGTCAAAAAGTTTGTGAATTTTGTCATGTTGTTGTTAATTTGCGACTGTAGATTTTTTATTTTTATTTTTTAACAGAATGTGGTTACTGTAAATAGTTTAGTTATGACAATTTTTAAAATGTGGTGTGCAGATTAAAGTGATTTTGATGAAATATCACAATTTTAGGCTTAGATGTGGTTCAGTTTTCCAGCAGATCGTCCCACTACAGATAAATAATTCAAAGAAAGTTGAAAATCTAGAGATGTTTTTCTATTTTACAGCGTTTGGCTCTGATAACTGGTGTCACTTTGGTGATTATTATTAAAGGATGCATGTTTTTCAAACCCACCAGCAGGTTCTAGGTTCAGAGGGTTAATAGCACGAGCTGAGCATCTAACTTCTCATTTTCGATTGGCTGTGTTTCATTTGGCGTCGACTGACATCAAAATCATTGGTTTAGTTGCAAAGCCACACACCACAGCACCACTGTGGGCCCATTTTGATTTTAAGCCAAATTATGAAGGAGCGCCTAATAATTTGGGGGAAGCAGTTTTCTGATATGCAGCAAAAAGCCGGGGTTCAAAGGCACTACAGACACTGATCTACTAATGCAGGCAGAACACGACCAGACACAGACAATTATATCATCAATTGCAATTACTTGTACTGTCAACTGAATTTCATGGTTATGATAGATTTATCTGCACCACTAGCTCCGGAGGGGCAAAGAAAACACACAGCATGTTTAGTGCCAACAGCCCTGTGCTCATACATCATCGTCTGGGCTTTTCTCACTTCTGCCATCACAAAGAAGAGGGTTCTCCACTGCTGGAGACATAACATTACCCACAACAACCCAGCTCACATTTTATCCTTTTCCCTGGCTTCCCTCTAGAACACACACACACACCGACTTGTGTTCAGGTTAGCAACATGTAAACTGTGGTGTCCTTCATTACATTACTCCTCAGTTTCAGAATTAAACATCAAGGAGGGATGTAAGTTGAATCCAAGTTAATGCAGCTGACTTACATAAATACATAACTACAAAGTCTCTGCTATTTTGAAGCTACTGAGAAAATTACCTTCCTCAGGAGCAGCCAGTTTACCCATCAGCTGTGTTTTATTTGCAGCTCAGCAGGTAAAGGACAAGAGTTAATGGTTTGGCACACTCAAGTTAGGAGCAAGAACACTTTCAAATTGAGAATCGATTCTGAATCCAACTGTGAGATTGCCAGAGTTTCCCACCCCTGATGAAACCCAAAGAGAGTTCAGCTACCCAGAACATTATCTGCAGCTTTCTGTTGCTGCGTCTATCTGCCTGCAGCCTCTTGTTTAGAGCTGCTGCTTAGACGAGCCCAGCAATCTGCCTTTGTCTCTCAGAGAAAGCTTTCATCTTATGCACCATTAGGATGTTTACGGCGCATAATGCTGAGGCTGACGCCGATTGGGGAAATGTCATCTGCATCAGTGCTTACTGGCTTCTTGTGAACCGTATGAAAGAAGCATCTCGAGGAGAGGATTAAAGCGGCCGCGTGTCTTTATCTACTCAATACCGATCAAATAGCTTTTCAATAAGCTATTGTTGGTAAAGGTGCAGGGCGCTTCTGTTGACTTTTTTCCCTGTCAATTAGTAGAAAATTGAAATTTGACAGTGCGATGGTAAGAAAACACTCAAAGTCTTCAAAGTGAGCACAATGTAATGCCAGGAAAAAGTCATGAAAACATCGTCAATAACCAAATCATGTTTTAACCCTCTGATCCCATCAAGCTTGAAAAGCATGCCATTTAAAAAGAAACTTTCTTTTTTAAAATCAGTGCAAGAAAGTCTAAAAACAGGAGGAATTGTTAGATTTTGTTTTAGTAATCATGTGTGACATTTTTTCACAAGGAAAGATATGAGCTTAATATTGGGATATTTTATCAAAACTACTGTATTCTACATGTTGCTCTTTTCAAAAACAGCTAAAAAAAATCACTTGCTCTAACAATCTGTGCTCCTCTGTGCAGCTAAGAAACCATTAGAGACTCAACTGTAACGTCACAAAAATGGAGGGACTTTGTGTCTGAACTAGGCTCTGCTAGGGTCTAGACTGGAGGATGGAGACAAATCTGAGAAGTAAAATATCTATCAAATAGTGTTTTTCTCAGTGTTTGTAACAGCTGTGGGTCCTTGAAAAAATGCATGTTCATTCCTGTTTTTTCAAATTTTGTACCAACATCAAAGAAATTCAACTTTCATGTTTTCTTGGTTATTGTTTATGGCATTTTAATGTTTAACTATTTATGTTATACTGCGAAAAGACATTTTTCTCTCCAATTCTAGCCACAGTTGTGCTGCTTCCATAGATGTGCAGAACTTTTACTGCAGGAAAAAATGAGCTCACAGCAAATGAAAATGTGACAGGAGCAAAAATGGCCAGAATCTGCTCCTGGTTCAGGGGACAAACTGCAGCTAAAACATACGGCAGAATATCCTATAAAACATTACTGGTAATTAGTCAAAATACAGTTTTTAATCAGTATTTATATCATAATTATATCTATGTGCCTCATTATATATATATCTATATATCAGTATTACTAATTAGTATTAATAAGTATTTTCATTGTTTCTACTCACGTTCTACACAGGCTCAGCTGCCATAATGTCACTTTTCGGTTTCTAACAGTGCACGTCACCCTGAATAACCTTTGGAGCTTAACACACGCAGTAGTTGCATTAGTTAGTCATATTTAGCAGGATTTGTCGAGAGAAACAGAACAACTTACACTGTTCTGAAGTAAACAAACTCAGCTTACTTACATAAATCAAATATCAGTGTATGATATTATTATATTATATTATATTATAGTATATACTGTTTTGTAACAGCAATAGTAGTTATGGGGTGAAACAGAACATGTGCTGGTTAGGATCCCAGACTTGCAGTTCGAACCAGAGCTGTAGGCCATGCTAGTTTACATTTTCTGCCTACATAGAAGAAGTCCTTTTGAAAAGGAGTCTGGCTCAGATGTAAGTGGAGTTTTCTGTTTTGCAAGGGATTAAGAGTCTGACTGCTTTATGTTGGAATGCTGACAGCTTCCTAATCTGTGTATTCATTTAAAAAAAGAAAAAAACAGTAAAAGCATAAACAACAGTAAAAGAAAAGACATAAAACAGGAAGCTGAGCTTTCACTTCAGTTAGTTTCACCATCCTGTAGTGTCGTAGCCGCCTTCTCCCACAGAACAGAACAAAGATGAATAGTGTTACACTCCCACCTCTACAAGGCTTCATGTGAAAAGCAGCCTGAGCTCAGCTAAAGTTGACGCCAACAACTCATCTTGTAATTTGCATAATTTACAAACAAGACTTGCTGAACAAACACCAATACATACTTTAAAATCCATGTATGGAAACACAGACAGCTGCCTCCTAAATGCCTGCTTCCTTTAAATTCCCCCACTGTGCATCGCAGGTGTATTGTCTCAAACAGAAGCATTGATAAACCTGTTGTTATTGTCAGGTTCATTTTTTGAAACATCCAACGCTCCTTTCAGAGCCACAAAAGACATCTTATAGCAAAATTGCTGATGGCATGTGTAAAACAGCTCCAATTCCCTTGATTTCTCATCCTTCGTATTGTATCGTCTTTGCTGCAGCAGCCAACATGTGAGCTGTCAGGTTGAGTTTGTATCTTACGCATACATACAAATAAGCAGTGTGATTATTTGTGCCACAATAAGACACTTTCAGCCCCTCTGCTGCGTGTCACCAGCATCGCAAATCAGTGAAGGGACTGATCGATCCCCCTAGAGACCCTAAGGTGTGGCATTGTGGTAAATCCTTTCAGAATTTCCTTTTGGCTCATGTGTTGGTGGGTTTGAACTTTTTGTAGCTGTCAGGATTCATACATGTACTGCTGAGGTGTTACCTAGTCCCAGTTCGTTTCTCTCATGTTTTTGCATGGTCACAAATGTCACTTACATTTTCTGCATAAAACTTCCCAAGTTGCAACTCCCCATCCAGGTAACTGGTAGTCGTCCATCTTGGTTTCATATTAGAAACAGAAGGACCGCTCAAGACAAACCACCTCGATGGTTAATCATGATTTAGAGAGGCTGACGGTGGCCTCTGTGACCCCAAACTAAGATATTACAAGAGTCACAATTTGTGGCTGGAGTTATAATGTCATCTGTCTGAATGCATTGTGTCAGTAGTAAATCAGCTGAATCCATCTCTCCTGTCAACAGGATGGCCTTTTGGAAGCCTGGTCTGCAAAATGAGCGGCATGGTTCAGGGGATCTCCGTGTCAGCATCCGTCTTCACTCTGGTCGCTATTGCTGTCGACAGGTACAGTGATTCTATTCAACTGTTGCTGCGTCAAAAACTAAACGACCGCACTGCCCGGCATTTTTCATACTTGAAGTGCAACTCAGACAAATGCTTGTACCACAGAACAGCTAGAAATCACTCAGAATGCACAGACTTCCACAAAGGATGCACAATTCTGTTAATTTATGTGATAAAACATTATAAACTCAAGATTAATGTGCTCTACTTTTGGTACGTAAACTCTAAGAATGAATGTTTGTGGTCAACAAAAAACAATTTAGTTAGCATCAGTCTTTTTGAGCTATGTCAACTTCTCATGACGTCATGTTAAACTAACAAACTACAACGAGTCAGGGGAATTACAATCACCACTTGCCTAATAATTGGTGGCAAAACACAAGATTTTACGTTGGTTACTTATAAAAATAAACAACTACTATTTCCATGTTTTAAAAAAAAATTCTATGTTTGATATAATTAACTGACAAAATTATGAACCCAGTTTTTGACATGTGCAAACTTAAATTGTGCAGTGGTTAGCATTGTCTCAGCCTGGAGTCTTTCTGTGTGGAGTTTGCATGTTCCCCCTGTGCCTGCATGGGTTCTCACCGGGTTCTCCAGCTTCGTCCTACAGTCCAGAGACATGCTGAGGTTAATTGCCGATTCTAAATTGTCTGTAGGCGTGAAAGTGAGTGTTCCAATTGTCTCTTTCTCTGTGTGGCCCTGTGACGGACTGGCGACCTGTCCATGGTGTACCCCGCCTTCGCCCTACGTAACAATTATAAATAAATGTAATTGTTCTTTCTCATGTCGGAACAGTAGTTTCACTTCAAATAAAAAGGGACAGGCTTGATAAGTGATTTCAGAATAATCTAGCACAGACATGCGTTTCCAAGATGAACCTCCCAGCTCAACTCTACATTTATGTTGAGAACTTTTACCTGAAGAAAATCACTGGTTGAATCTGCACCTGGTCTGTACTTTATAGTCAGTTTCACCGATTAGCCATCCAGACACACTGTTCAGTTTACTCTCAGTGTTGTTTTTGGCCTCTGCAGGAAACAATAAAGCTCTTAAAGGCCCACTGTATACTACCTGCTTGGCACTACACCACAGACACAGTGACTAACTAGATGGTGAACAGTGTGGAGCACGAATCCTGGATTACAGCCACCTGGAGGCTAGAGGCACATCTCCAAATGACTGAAAATGTTGTAGTGTAACAGCTGGATATGTAAATAAGACAACTGTTTGCTAACAAGTTCCACATTAACCAAGAAGCCAGAGACAATTTGCTCCCAACAAACACATATCCAGCAGAGTTAGAGGGTGTAATGTAGGACGTGAAGGTGACAACAGCTCTTCATGCTGCGTAAATGACAGCGCTGTATTTTATCATGGCTCAGTCTCCAGACAGTAGACGTGCCGCGATGTCGCTGTCACCGTTTGAAATCACTGGAGGGCGTCTGCACCGTTGGAAAGGACAGATGGAGTTTGAAACACTCTGACATTCAAATTCAAAGTCACCTTATGTATCCGTCGGCCACATTATTAGATCTGAATGGGTAAAGAGATAAAGAGGTCTCCAGTGCGACCTTTTGGTGCTCGTGTGCAGATAGAGAGTTCAATCTCTTTGTACTGTTAATCTCTGTATCTGTTCCTATGTGGCCCGACTGTTTTCACAACAATATTCACGACATCATTTCTCGCCGCAGCAGCATCCAAAAATATAGAAAGTACAAGAAAATAACAATTAAGTAATATGCATCCTGGTGTCGACACACAGCAGGTCCATGGCCCCGCTGTCTCTGGTTGGGCAGTCCGCATGCTGGCTGAATGTGGGGAGAGTGGTAGAGAACGATGTATGATCAAAGTCTCCTGAGATGACGATCAGAGACTGAGGGTGTGATGTTTGGGACACTGAGCTATGGATGAGTTCACAGGCCGCAGCAGCATCAGCAAGGGAGGATGTAACCTGTAATCGCCAGGACGTATAAAAACTCCCTCGGCAGGTAAAACGGCCACAAACCAACCACCAGCAGTTCAACATCCTTCGTGCAGCGACGCTCTTTAACACTAGGCATTACACCATCTCTCATTCACATACATGGCGAGTCCCCAGCCTTTCTTCTTACCACTCTCCCTCCAGCTCCGGTCCACTCTGACCAGGTGAAATCCATCCAAAGCCACAAGCGAGCCTGGAGTGAGTTCGTCCAGCAATGACTCCGTGAGCAACACGAGGCTGCAGTCCCGATACTCACACTGCAGCCAGGCCAGCGCTGTTAGCTGTTAGCTGTTAGCTCTTCCATCTGTTTGGGAGAGACCTCACGTTTCCCATGATGATGGACGGATGGACGGCTTGTAGCGTCTCTGGTTCTCCCGACGCTTCACTCCTGCCCTGCATCCCCTCTTCCTCCTGTGGAGCTCATCGGGGATGTCCGGTCTCTCCCACGACAGTGGCTTGGCCTGGCTCAGAGCCAACAACTGTTCATGAGTGTAAAAACAATAGAGCCAGGGCTCAACGGCTCAATGGCTCGCCAGAATGTGGACCCCAAAAACTCGCAAAAACAAGCAAAGAACAGACCAACTAAAAAACGCCAACTTTCCCTGCATAAATGTGGTACAGCTGTGTGAAATTAAAATATTGAAAAGATTGAAGAAAAACCAAAGTAAATAGCTAAAAACACAGAAAGTAGGAAGGGGCCGCTGCAACTGGCTGCCACTCTCATGGCGCCATAGCAACAAAAATCTGTGATGCCTATTGGTCCAAACACACATTTTAAACGTCACACATGAGCTGTAAGCTATTACTACAGCCTACTTGTAGTTCAATCGTGTATGGAACCAAGCTGCAATAGTGACTTATGTCATGTGTTTGGTGTCAAAAATGTGAAAGTGTTTGTTGCACTCAGTTCCTATTATCGATTGATTATTGACAATGCTGCCAATGACTGGTTAAGAAAACTATTGAAAATTTGCACCCGTGTTTGTTACTAATGAAACTCTACGAGAGTGAATCTGTTTGAAAAAGTGACACTTCAGTTTCAAAGTGGAAAAGCTCAATTATAGCGTTCACTGTCCATTTCGCTAATGATATGTCTTCTAGCAAATAAATAAATAAATAAATAAATAAATAAATAAATAAATAAATAAATAAATAAAATATGGATAATTTTAACAAGGTAACATTTCTTGATGATTTTAATCTCGAAGGATGTCTCTCTATCTAGAGTCATGCAGAAATTGATGATCAGGAAGCATCCACATGCCTCCATTGTCAATGATCACAAGATTCTTTCACAGTTAGATCTCAAATTGCTCCACGTCCTTCCCTTACACAGGAAGCTCTTTTTTTCCGTTATAATCATTTCCATCCATTCCCTGCAAGGCTGTGAACTGATCTACTGGCGAAAGGTGCCAAATTTTAACAAGCTATTGTTTTTTTTGTTTTTTGTAATACTTTACAGCAAGCCCTTAGCTCTTAGCTCTCAGCCATGCCAATAAATTCCCTGTCTTTTTTTGGACAGATTTTACAGCAATTATTTGGCAGGCTCAAAGTCTGATAGTGTCTGAAAGTGATGATGATGCAAAGAGGTCAGTACCATGAAGCAAACCTCCCGGAGACACCTGTATGCAACCTGTTTTCATTCTTTATTTCAGGGGCATCAAAAGCTGCAGTTTTGTCAGAGCTGCTTGCATGTCAAAGCTACGCTAAGATGTCCTCAGGCGTCTGTTCATATTCAGCGCCGCTGGACATGTAGGAGTTTTTCCATACCAAGTTCAACTGCTGTGCTGGACCATTATTTTTTCCCACTTTGCTTTGTTTTGTGAATTAACTTTCGTTTTCAGTTGCTACTTGGTTTGGTTTAGGAAAAGATAGTTTGGCTTAAAATACATTCTTCACAACATTAATCACAAGTTACAAGGCAAGCTTTCCCATGCCTGAAAACAAGCGACAATGACAACAACAACAGAGAACAATTTGACATTTGCTGATTTTTATAGGTCTGTCAGATTACGCTGCACGTTGAAAAATGATGCTTAAGGGTACCATGTGTTTCTAGATGTGACGCCACAAGGTCCTAACAAAGTGGCAGTATGCAACTCACATAAATGTTTGTACTGTGAACTCAAAATAGAGGCTTTTATATTTTAATATCGGTGCAACAACATTTTTCCAATATTTGGTTTAATTGTAAATCAGTTTGTTATGAAATCAGTGCGCAATTGTTCTTGCAGTTTATTCATTTATACACATGTGGCAAAAGCATAAGCCCGTCTTAGACATCTCCCCTCTGGTGAGAAAAGAGCCAGAAGAAGGGCAGTATCATTTCTGGAAGTCTTGGCATTTTAAAGCACCAGAAGAGACGACTGGACTGGTGGGTTACTGATGCGTTTAGCCACACACGTTCTCAGCCCTGCACAGTGACTGAAATAAGTCCAAAAAGCCAATAGCCGCCCCAACAGCAGAGTCCAGCTGACACTCTCATTTGAATGTGGCTGCCATCCTCAGACACAATGCTGCTGGCAGGACTGTCACAGACTGCAGGGACACAAGGCTGTCCATAAAGATAGAAATATATTGTACGATGTTTGCATATAGTGAAAAACACATGCATATGGGCTGATTTATGAATATCAACATGTACACGAGTGAAGAACTTCTTTGTAGTGTTTTTGAAACACTATTAAAAAGTTCTGTAAGTGTGCACGACTTGCTTTCTGAACTCTGAGTCCAGCAAGCAAAGAGAAATTGGACAGAAGTTCAAAAGCACAGTCCTTATAAACCTCAAGTGCAAACTGCTGTGTCCCTGTGGTGTTCATACGCACAAAGACAGTCTTTGGTTTGGTGGTTTGGATTCAGTTTGGTGTGGACATTATGTTCCTGTTGTTAACAGATGACCATATACTTTCAATCACACTAAATGTTATGAGAGAAGCTGAGTGAATTATGCTCTTGCTGATGCACAGTGCAAATTGGCAGTAAAACCAGTGGATGTGATTGAACATTAGTGACAGTTGCACAGTGTAATTCCAAAGCCATACATGCATATCTGTTTTTCGCTTATGCCTTTTATAGGTATGACCCAGGGGTTCCTGACAACAGCCTCTCTGGCCTATTACTAGGAGATGCATTGTGCTCCTGCGGCTTTATCATTTCAGCGTCCACACTGCAATGTGTGAACGCATAATAGTCCCATCTCAGCAAATCAACAGAAACACATCATGCTACAACCTTTTTGCTGCTTAATGCAAAAAGAAAACTGCCCGTTTCTAGTTTCCCCATTACTATTCTACAAGAGAAATCATTTGCTCCTATTGATACTCTGAGTTTTTTTTTTTTTTTTTTTTTACTTTATGTGCAGGACACAATGCTTGTTTGCTTGCATGTGTTTAGCAAAATAAGCAAGAAACTGGAGGAACACACAGAAAAGGAAGATTCATGGGAAAAAAACTATTCATGGGATAATAATCAAATCACAATTTTGGCTGCTGTTAAATTAACATGATCAGCTGTGATATTGACATGCAAAATGATGTGCTCATTGCAAGCAGCCAGTGTAGATAAAATCATTTGGTTTCAGTTTGGGTAAATTTGGCATTAGAACAGCTTATTACTATCTTTTCAAAGTAATGTTTTCTCACACACTTTTTTAAAATTGCTGCGCAAACGTAATGTAACGGAGACTAGAGGCTTCTCTGTGCAAAGCCGCCCAGCTCGCTTCTACTGTAGCCTTGATGTGAGAAGCGTTGTGAAACTGTAGTGCATCGATGAACAGATGTTACAAAAGTAAGGCCTTTTGTGGACTATTTTATTCATATTTTGCCTTTATGAGATGCCGCAAATTCAGGTAAAGATTGTTGTAAGTCGTATTGTGATGCAAATTTGCACAATAGCAGAAATGTTGTGAAACTTCTAAGTGAATGCAGTGCTCTGTTTATTTAAATGTGAAAGTGCAGTAAAAAGATTTGGCTTTGAAATCGGTGAATAATTCTGATTATCACATTGATCAAAACAATCTTGATTATCTTTTGGCCATTACTGTGCAGCCCAAGTCAGTGCCATGGAAAGATTTCAGCTACAGAAAAGATCTGTCAGCAGTGTCTTGCACCTTTTTTTTTTGTTTGTTTGACCTTTTCAATCAACACCACAAAGCTGTGTATGACGTTTGCAAAGCCAGATCTAAATGCCACCCAGAGCAAACAGCTATTTTAGATGCCTTTGCGAGTGTTGCACCATATGAGAGATGTTCCAAAGTGTTTGCACAAAAAAAAATCCTCACAATAAAAAGTCATTTTTTTCCCCCTTTTTGAAATAAGTTTTTGTCCTTTACGCAGATGCACCTCCATACGAGTTACTGAAATCATCTGGTGAAAATTTGGCCTCATTTATGCTTTTGAGATGTACACTGACTCTGATGGGGACGGCAATGTTCTGTCACAGCCTGTTTCTTGTGAAAAATATATATTTGTGGAACAGTTTAAATGTCTACATGCATCTTAACTATCCCGTGTATCTCTCTTTTTTTAACCCTTTGGCAGATTCAGATGCATCGTCTACCCATTCAAGCAGAAGCTGACCATATCCACAGCCACCTTGATTATAGTCATTATCTGGGTTCTGGCCATATCCATCATGTGTCCCTCTGGGGTGATGCTTCAAGTGACCAAGGAGCAAACCATTCGGGTGTTACTGGGCTATGACAACAAAACAACTCCTTTTTATTGGTGCAGAGAGAATTGGCCGAACCAAGAGATGAGGAAGATTTACACCACCGTCCTGTTTGCAAACATCTATCTTGCCCCTCTTTCCCTGATTGTGATCATGTACGCCCGGATCGGCATTACGCTTTTCAAAACAGCAGTTCCGACGGGAGGAAAGCCGGGCCACGACAACCGGCACACTGTGTCAAAGAAAAAGCAAAGGGTGATTAAAATGCTTCTAATAGTCGCTCTGCTCTTCATCCTTTCCTGGCTGCCTCTGTGGACTCTCATGATGCTGAGCGACTATGCCAGCCTGACTGAGCAGCAGTACAGAATCATCAACATTTACATCTACCCCTTTGCCCACTGGCTAGCCTTCTTCAACAGCAGTGTCAACCCCATCATCTACGGTTTCTTCAATGAGAACTTCCGCAGAGGGTTTCAAGCTGTGTTCAAGTTCAGCCTGTGCACGGCCGACGGACAGCGGAGGAAAACCTACTCGCACAGGCTGCAGGGAAACTCTGTGCTCCCAGCTAATAATGCACAAACATCCCTGGAACCTATTTCCCTCAACAGCCTGGAAAAGAACAGTTCCAGGCGAACCAATCACGTCAAGGAGCAGGACTTGGTCATGGAGGATCTGGAAAAGGGATCCTGCAGCAGCGGCGGTGTGACTGCAGTGTCTATTTGAAGACACACGGACATTCTTCAAGGTGATAAGCAAAGGTCTGCAAACTTAAGTCCTCACTGTGCCTAAGGAAACTGCAAGGCTGGCTAGAACATGTTTTAACAGCTTTTGTTTGTAGGTAATTTACCCAAGGCAATTTCAATACAGTCAAAACAGATACAACTGAAAGAATAAGATGTAAAGCAGTAATTCATCCTTTTGATTCAGTAAGCCACTAAACAGTGGTTACTCCTGAAATAAATACATGTCTTTAAATGACTAGTTTGAAAAAAGGAATACTCCTGTTAGTTGTTAATCTTTACTTATCACCTTCAAGGCACACAATGTATGTTGCACATACTGTGTTCAAACTCAAAGCAGGTTGTGCTGTTGGGATTGTAGCTTTCAACAAAAGGAAAACAAGACATGAAGCTCTCGTTGTTCAGTGCATATTTAGTCAATAAAGAGCGGTTAATACTGCATTGAGAACAGACTAATGTCTTGCTCCATGACATACCTTATAAAAACCGTTTGTATAAATGTATAAAGGTGCATCAGACGTGTACATTATGTACTATGGTACTTGCAGAGCAGATTTCAAGAGTCACTTATAAAAACAGAATAACTAATCTGACATCTTTGTAGATCGCTGCTACTGAGACTCAGATGTACTTTTAAGTCATGAATAGAAAAAAATCTGCAGCCTGTAGAATTAAGTCACTTCATCTATAAAGCACATTTAACAAATCAAAACACACAGCGTACACAAGGCTTAAGGGTAAGGTCAAAGGGCTCAAACATGAAATGTAAGGTTGTAGAACAAAGGCAGGAGTTGAAGCATAAACCGTTCAAGTGTCTTTGATTGTGGTCTTTCACACCAGCAGCTGTAAGCATTGATGAGAACAAAGAAGTGCAGAACTTGTATCATCGTCACTCTTTTCAGACACTGAGCTCGGCCTCCTCTGACTGACAACAACTAGTTTGAGTATATAAATATCATTTTAACTTTTTCGATTGGCTCCCATATTGTTAATGAAGAGAGATGTCTGAACACTTAGAATATAGTCACGTCATGTTTCTGGCATCCTTGCACTTCCAACAACAGACTTTTTTTTCTCATTTTGAATCAAGGAACAAAAAAGTAAAATGTTAAAACTTTGGTCTCTTTAGCTTTCAATGACTAAAACGATGCCCAACAGTTAATGGGCTATTGATTTATTCATGCTAAAATGCTACAACCTTGAATTATAAAACCTGTTAGTGCAACTGAAAAGACTCTACAGACACAGGATGAGACAAAAGACCCATTTGTCAGGCCACACACACATGAACACGGTTTTATTAGTTTCTTTTATTTTAATTGAGTTTGAAAACCTTTAGTGCAGCAGAGAGAGCGAAGCCACAACTATAATTGTACACGAACCATCAACTTTTGAACGAAACTTTTCACGCAGGTTCTTCTTTTGAAATCTGCTCTGTAAACGTGTACATAACAGCGTAATGATGCTCGATTAAACACTATTTATTCATGAATATCTCATGAGCCTGTTAAGAATGTGCCATGTAAATCTCAGAGCAGAAGTTTTACTGTTATTTATTTTTTATCTCTATGAACAGTCTTGTAAATGGTAGGGGGGTGGGGATAAAACAGGGGGCCAGCGGTGGTCTCAAAACCCGTGTCGTCTTGCTGTAAATATGTTACCGAGTCTAAAGCTTAGTTTACAAGTGATAGCGTGAATCTGTTCGTCCATGTGAACTGACTATTGGGAAAATTCCTGCAGGGCGGCGTACTAAATCTGTACAGCAAACCACACTTTCATAAAATAAGAATTTTGAAATGCTTAAGTGACAGGAGGCCCTGTCTGGCAGCCATACTGGAGGTCCTTAGCTCATCTGCTTGATTGAATAATGGCAGGACGGCTGTTTGTTCGGCGGTTGCTCAGGGTGCCACCAGCTGAGTGCATAACTGAGTCAGACAAGTCGTTTGACAGACACCGAGTCAGTATAGTTAATAAAATATACGTGGTCTGTAATGCCAGGTTGCAATACATAGCCTGTAACATCCTGAAACTAAAGAGCTGATGTGTGGAAACAGGTGGATCCAGGTAATTCTTTTACCCAGCTGAAGTGTAAGATGACAGGCTAAGCTACTATACGCACACCATGCCATAAACAAAAAATTCTAATCTTATTCATTTTGTCTTTGTTTAAACTCAGAACACTCTGAGGTATGGAGGAGTCATTTACAATCTGGCTGAGCAAAATAATAAAAGATGTTGGCGCACACAGTAGAAGCTTGGATAAACGTGTGAAATAATAGGCACATGAAGAATAATAAGTGTTTAGCTCTCTGAACTCCAAGCAGATCATTTTCTGCTACGATTACATGTTTCCTCACCGTGGGCTCATTCTTCACTGCAATATAAAGCTCTTTATGGAAACAGCACAACCATGACTAGAAGTAAAGAGAACTCAGATATGTGTTCTGTGCAGGGTGACAAAGTTAGAACGCCATAAATCTTGAAAAACAAAAACCAAAAAAATTTATTTGATTATTAATTTTACAGGAATTGAAAAAGCCTGGAATCGATATAGACAACATTTTCCAAGTGCCCACAGGTGTTATCTATACTGGAAAAAAAAAAAAAGAAAAAGGTATCTCTACATACACCAGTACTCTACATGTACTATTCTACTAGATACATTCTAAATGTGTTTCTTTGCTTGTCTCCTATCTGTTCTGAGTTTTTGTTATGTGACTGTCAATCAGTTATGGCTTCACTGTTGCACCAAGGAGATCAGAATATTATTTCATTTTATTTTATTTTTTTAGCAAAATCTGGTTAGAGAAAACAGTTTATCTTTAGATTTATTTTTACAATTTTTAATGAGACACGTAGAAAAAGAATGGCTTTGTTGAAACATCACAATTTTAAGCTTTGACTAAGTTTTCCAACCAAACCATTCGACACACAGGACTAGTTCAAGAACCACTGTGGAGTCAAAAATCTGAACATTCTTTCTGTTGTTACAGTTTTTGGCTGTGAATGCTGTAATTTGGATGATTTTTTTCAGATAACAGGACTTTCAAACTTTCCTGGTGAGTTTTGGGGTTCAGAGCAGTAAAATGTAGAAACAAATTAATGAGCTAAAACACAAACAGCTGGAGGTTAAATAAGACACAACTACAAACCCAATTGCCCCAATGATTAAAAAAAAGAGTCAAGCTTTAGATTGTTATCTGTGTTATTCCAGGTTGCAGGTGTGCAGCAAGTAAAACTGGATTTTTCAAGCTCTGTCAAAAGAGCCGACACCTTTCATCATAATCCACTGAGCTATAGCAGTGGCCCAAACAATGAAGCAATGTAAGGGAGTGAAGAATTCGATGAGAAATAAAAACAAAATGAGTCCCTGTGTCTGTCATACCCCACAGCCAGGGAGGGCCACCCAGCCCCCACATACAGCTCACAATGATGATTATCATTATCAACAGCAGTAATAAAGCTTAGCACAGAACGATAGGAAGTGTCCAAGGGCTCAAGGCTGATGATGCATATAAAATATCACCATACATGCATTTAAGCCAATTTTGCACCACTGAGTCTGCAAAGCTGGCACAAGAACCGGACCATGTGCCTTACAGTGTGCGCATAATTCAGTTGTGTATAAAAATGTATTTATTCCAACACAACCTTTAGTCTACATATGTCACGTTTAGAAAGGTCAGCAGCAAATTAGGTCAAAATCAGAGGAATCAGTGGAAATGTTCCAATGCAGCTGGTTTCAGCTCTTCGCCTCACTGAGAATAGTTCTGCACCCAGACCGTTGTCATTATTGGAAAAGAAAACAGGACTCAGCCGGCGCTAAAAGACTCTGACACTTGTCACAGGCAGACACGCTCACTCTTGAGAAGTTGTGCACAAAGATCATCAGTCATCCAGGTCCACACATAAGCTCGTTCTTTCCAAAAGACACTGAACTTTCTGTTGGGTGGCGAAGACATTTTTCCACTTATTCGAGTGACTGCATCCCCCCTGCCTGCTGATTGGTGGGGAGGCTCAGGCATTTCAACCTGTGTGACATTTAAGTGACACTTGATGAGGTCAAGTGCTGTCAAATGAGAGTTTGAGTCACGAAAATTAGACTACGGATTATTAGCCTTGCTTAGAAAAGTCTGCTTGTGGTCACTGATGTACTTTAAATTCACAGAGTGCACTCTCCAGAGGGACCTTCAATATGGCACCAGACGAGGCTGCTAAGAGTTTTCTGATAACTGCTGGCCTCTGTACTGTACTGCAGGCACACACTTGTTATGTGCTCATTACCCATTCTGCAGTGAAATGTTACTGCATCCCAGAGACCCTGACATCTCTGGTGCAAAGGCTTCATGTCTCCTCTTGGGTATGCTTGTGTGATTTGTTGACACGCGGAGCAGCAAAGCCTCTTCGTAACCCCTGATTTGACCCCTTTTTGTAAAATCCTCTCACACGTCCTTACTGAATACTCCTCCTCACTTGAGCTGAGTGCTGTTATCTATTACACATTTTAAAAAGATGTATTATCCTGTGTTTTTTTTTTTTTGGTTCAATGACAACCTTGAGATCCTGATGATACAACCAGTTATGATTAAATGTAATATTTATAAGCTAAAGAACACACTGAGTGCATCTGTGAAGGTTATTCTGTAGGCTACAAAGCATATCACAGGCTATGGTTGGGGATCCAAAGTATTTAACTGAAGCTAAAGCAGTTTTTTTGAGTCAGTTAACCCTCTGACCCCCAAAACTCACTGGGGTGTTTGAAAGGCATGTTAGTTATAAAGACAACTCCCAAAATCACTCCTTTTGGCAGATCCAAAAACTGCAAAAACAAATAGGGCGGTCTCATTTTCTGGCCGTCTAAGCCTAAAATTGTGTTATTGCTTTAAAAGCACTCTATTCTATATGTGTCTTTTAAAATTTTCAGGAAAGTATCTGCAAACCAAATTCTGTAAAAAAAAACTAAAAAAAATCTGTGCTCTGTGT